CCTATTCTTCCCTTTGCAACCCTGCAATTGAAGCCTCTGCCCTACCCTACGCCACCCTGCCCTGTGGAAGCCCCTATTCTTCCCTTTGCAACCCTGCAATTGAAGCCTCTGCCCTACCCTACGCCACCCTGCCCTGTGGAAGCCCCTATTCTTCCCTTTGCAACCCTGCAATTGAAGCCTCTGCCTTACCCTACCCCTCCCTATGCAACCCTGCCCTTTGGAAACACCTAAACTATCCTACCCTATGGAAGCCTCTATCTTGCCCTAGCCTACCCAGTGCAACCCTACGTAACCCTGCCCCATTGAAGCCTCTGCCTTACCCTACCCTTCCTATGCAGAGAGTGAGGAAGAAGAGATATAAGGAAGAATAAAAGGGACAGAATAAAGGTGAGAAAAAAAGAGAAGAAGGAAGAGAAGCAGGAAGATGGTGAAAGTGAAGAGATGGAAGAAGAACAGGAAAATAAAGAGGAAGAGGAGGACGGGAGGTGGGGGAGGTGGGGGGGGGAGAAGGGGAGAGGAACACACAATGCTCATTACCAGTTTCCACAAACAATCGAGATTCGTCCTACCTATTTGCATTCCAATCCGGGATTCATGAATATCAATAACACGCGAATTATTCCAGGTTTTCACAAGAGAGACCCCGTGAATAAAAAAATAAAAACAAAAAGTACCCCCCAACCAAATGCAACTACCCTCTCCCCCCCTCCCCCTCCCCTCTCCCCCCTCCCCAACCCCGATCTCAGCCCCGGTTTCAGGTTTCCACTATTTTTTTATTTTTATTTTTTTAACGACCCATCCTTTGCTATTCCTTCCCCCTCTTCCTATCACGATTTCTCTTTCTCCTTCTCTTTCTCCTTCTCCTCCTCCTCCTCCTCTTCCTTCTCCTACTGCTTCTCGCCCTCCTCCTCCTCCTGCTCTTTCTCCTTCTCCTCCTCCTTCTCCTTCGCCTCCTCCTCTTATCCCCTTATCCCCTTTTACTCCACCTTCTCTACCCCCCCCCCTTCTTCTAGATTTCTGCCCACCCCCCCAACTCCGTCTCCCCCCCCTCCCACCCCCCCCCCCCGCCCACTCCAACCTCCCCATTAAATTTTCTTCACTTCCGAGCCTTCTCATGCCCATGCTTATACCCCTCCCCTCCCCCCCCTCGAATTACCCCCTCCCCCTCCCATCCCTCGATTACCCCCTCCCCTTCCCCCCCCTCGAATTACCCCCTCCCACTTCCCCCCCTCGAATTACCCCCTCCCTTCCCCCCCTCGAATTACCCCCTCCCCCTCCCATCTCTCTCTCCCCCTCCCACCTTCCCCTGGGGTACCCTAATTCCCACTTACCCCCCCCCCCAAAACCTACCCACACACACAAAAAAAAAAAGCGAAATAAAGATAAAGCGAAAAAAAGGGATATAAAAGAAAATAGATAGAAAAACAAAGTAGGAAGGGATTAGATAGATGAGGTAATAAATATTGATTAAAGAGATGAAGACAGATGATGATTAAGATATCTAAGACATGACAATACATATAAGTTAAATATCAAATAAGTTATAAGAAGTGAGACAAAGAGAAAGAAAAAAAAACTAAAAAATAATCTAGCAAAAAACGAAAAAACAAACGAAAAAACAAACAAGCAAACAAAGGCAAAATAATTCTAACCGACGAACAGGTCATCAAAAAATAAACAAACATACAAACAAACAAACAAAAAACAGGGAAATAGGACAAAGAAAAAAAAGCCATTTGATAGGGGGAGGGGGGAGAGGGAGGGTAGAGGGAGGTGAGGAAAATAAGTTAGTGTGGGGGAGGGGGAGGATGAAAGGAGAGAGAAAGGAGAAGAAAAGGGGGGGTAGAAAATGAGTTAGTCGGGGGAGGGGAGGGGGGGGGAGAGGGAAGGGAGGGTAGGGGAGTAAAATGAGTTAGTCGAGGGAGAGGAGGAAGGGAGGGACAGGAGGGAGAGGAGGAAGGGAGGGGTAGGAGGGAGAGGTAAGATAGGGGGGGGGAGAGGGGAGCCAAAACAGGGCGACGAGGCAGCGAGAGAGAGAAGAATGGCTTGCTATTACTTAACCAGAATGAGCTTTCGGGTATTGGCTGTAACATTATTGAGGGAAAGAGAAAGAGAGTGGGGAGTGTGTAAACAGAAAGGGTGAGAGAGGTGAAAGGGAGAGGGAGAGAGAGGGAAAGAGGGTAAGAGGGGGAGAGAGGTAGGTAGATATAGAGAGGAGGGAGGCAGAGAAGATGAGAGAGGTGAAAGGGAGAGGGAGAGAGAGGGAAAGAGGGTAGAGAGAGAGGGGAGAGAGGTAGGTAGATATAGAGAGGAGGGAGGCAGAGAAGATGAGAGATGTGAAAGGGAGAGGGAGAGAGCTATAGATATAGAGAGGGGGGAGCGGCAGAGAAGGTTAGAGGGGTGAAAGGGAGAGGGAGAGAGAGGGAAAGAGGGTAGGAGGAGAGAGAAGGAAAGAGAGGTAGATAGATATAGAGAGGAGGGAGGCAGAGAAGATGAGAGAGGTGAAAGGGAGAGGGAGAGAGAGGGAAAGAGGGTTGGAGGAGAGAGAGGGGGAGAGAGGTAGGTAGATATAGAGAGGGGGGAGGCAGAGAAGGTGAGAGAGGTGAAAGAGACAGAGAGA